ACACCAGAGCACCACGAGTGCTCGTAAAGCCGTGCCAGGGGTCCTGAAATGACCTCAGCCAATTCCCTCAGTACTCTAGGGTGGAGATCGTCTGGACCGGCTGACTTGAATACGTCCAGTCCCTCCAGAAGCTCCCTAACTAGTTCCTCACTAACCCTTGGCCTAGGTGCGCCTCCCCTGGGTCCTGAGGGGGGCTGAGCAGGGGGGTGACTTTTCCGGTCCCTGCTTAGGAAGATGGAGGCAAAGAAAATGTTAAACATGTTGGCTATGTCGTCTGGTGTGACGACCAAATTTCCTAAACTTCTTAGTGAAGTTTAAATCACAATGGACTGTAAAAAGATGATATTAGGATGGTACTGAATTGTTTCTGAACATGTTCTGAGATACAGGGACCCATCTAATCAAGCAGGGCAAAGCTGTAGCTGCATAAAAGGCATTTGAGATGTATGCTTGAGTCAAACTTATATACAAGGCAAAGATTGTGGGAGACTTAGACACTTAAACACTACATTGGTAGCACTTACTCATCTTAGCAGTGAAGTAGAATTCTGCCCTCAGCTTCCATTACTCTGATGGGCTTTAAATACAGTAAACTATTGCTAGATGTCCCTACTATGCAGTAGAACTTTTGTTTTAAGTGCAAAACAAGAGTTATATTTAGTTCATTTAATAAGGCACAAAGCATCATTTTTTCCAGTGTAACACAGAATTCACTGCAGTTTTATAAACTGAGCACATTCATACAAAAACTTCTCTTTCAAGGATTTGAACTGTTAGCAAAATCCTTGTCTTTTCTAGTGTCTGAGACTGAATTGGCAGGCAGTGATAAGGCATCTTGGGCACTGCCTGGTTGTTGAACATCAGGTAGCTGTGAACTACTGCCTTGTGATGGATGACTTTCTGTTAAATCACTTTTAGGCGTTATCCTACATGTAAACAAAAAAAACAAACAAAAAAAACACAGACAATTAAGCATGATATTGTCAACTGAAAAGCTAAAAAATACATTTAACAGAAAATAGTAACCTACCACATTTATTCTCAGATCATGTCCCTAAGTAAGATGTGCAACTTGTCTTGGGAAGACAGAACAAAAAAACCCAAATCTTTGTAGTCTTCCCTACCACAACATGGACTCACCAAGGCTGAATGCTCCTAGCTACCTGCAGAAAAGACAGAGTCCACTCAGCATTATTTATCCTCCTGCCAAAGCTCCACAGCTAAGAGGTTTAACCCTCTAACAGCCACTGCCAAATTGGCAGTAGCTTTTGTTAGAGTGGCTGTGCCAATTCAGCAGTGGCTAAGAGAAGATGTAATCTCTAGCTGCGGAGCTGCAGCAAGAGGATGCATGAGACACTGAGCAGGGGACTGTGCTCCTTCATGCATGCAGCTCAAGGCATATGGCCTCAGGCAGTTATTCCAGCATCCCCCTGCTTTCATTCTCTTGGAGAAATCAGTTCCCTCACCTAAGAAAACACACCAATTTTGGAGGGCTAAATTTTAGGGGTGTGGCATGAGAGTAAATATGGTATGTTAAACTAAATTCAATTCTCTTGAGAGAGTATAAATGCTCAACATTTTTTCCTCAAGCCAAAGGGCAACCCTTTTTTTCTGTACTGGTCACCCCTCCAAATATGCTGTATTGCCACCACAGATTTTTTGACAAGCATTGGACAGTATGCCTAGCTCATCATGCTTTTACTTAAAAAAAAAAAAGTCCCAGAGGTCACTGCTTGGCAATGCAAAACACACCCTACTGTAAGAGTCAAAAGTTTGGACTAAGCCTGGGAAGCCAAAATATCCCAAAGAAATATACATTTACATCCCAAAAACCACATAATCTATGTGGCCATGTGGAAAATAGTTTAAAAAAAGATTCTCTCTTCAGCTATTATTAGTTATGCTACAATGATTCTTCAGTAGGATTAAAACAAACAGAAAATACACCATAGTACTGATAAAATAAAAACACACACCAAAGACCACAATTAGGGAAAAAAAATAAATGAGCCTTACCCTTCTTCACCCATTCTCTTGACACTTTCAGATAAGCTAATCTTAGCACATGTATTCTCTACTTTGCTTCTCTTTTCCATCTGCTCCACAGCCAATTTAGAAATAGATGATATCCGTAATGCATTTTCAGTATTAACATTTTCCCCCTCCTCTACTTTCTGGGTGGCCTCCACTTTCTGGGTGGATGTTCTATCTGCCTCCATCTCTTTCTCAGACATTTCTGGAGAAGTTTTGATTTCTGTAAAGGTCTCTTGGCTTAAGTAATCATGGTTAGCAATTGCCACTGCAGAAGTTCCATGATTTGTTGCAGCACCAGTACTAGTCCCCATAGACTTAGAAATGACCTTCAGTTTGTGAGAACTGGATTTGTAGTGCTTCTTTTTATGCTTAACCTTAGAATTGTGCTTCAAGAAAAATTCACACGATTCTTGCAGCACTCTTCGACTCTCACTGATCGGACTAGGAAAAAAAGAAGAAAAAAAAAGACACACAAATGTATGTCTACTCCAAAGATGTTTCAGATTTAATGGAATTCAAAGCAATCTTTCAAAATGTGACGCAAGTAACAAGGGGTGATGAAAACCTGAGTTGTTAACACCACTGTAGCGTGAAAACTGTCTGTGGTACTTCATGCAGTGTACTGTACTTAGTGATAGTAGCCACTGTATAGTTACATATGTCAAGTAAATACATTTTGTGGAAGACAGCCAAATCTTACATGCTCAACTCTTGCAATTAGTTCAAATTACTTCAGCAGGATGAATAAGAGAGAAAAAAAACCCTGGTAATAGTTCATAAATAACTACACAGGCAAATTAAGTTTTCATGTAGTAAAACTAGGCAGAAGTAGAAAAAGTGGCAGGCCATGTAAAAAACTGCCTACATTTAAAAAAATATATATATATACTATTTTTTTAATGTAGGCAGCTTTACATGACCTACCACTTTTATGTATCTCTCACTTAGCTTAAAGTAAATCAACAGCTGAAGCATAAGAAAAATATACAGGAAATGGAAAAGAGAGGAGAGGGAAAGGAAGCTATAAGCTCACCATTAAGGAATGCAGAGTTAAAATAAAGAGGTAAAGTAATGCTGGCTTGGGAAGTTCAGAGAAGTAAAGAGCTTTAAAATATGTCTATAGCCCAGGAAGAATGTAGAAAAATCTAAAGAAAACCTAAAATCGATGGTAAAGAGAAGAAATGTACCCAAATTTACAGTTTGTGACTACCTAAAGAACTGTTAATACATCTCCTGAAAAGCAGAACTCATAAAGTTTAAATGATGGAATGAAATTACTGTCACAGAAGAAAACAAAACAAGGAGCAGTAGTCTGAAACAACAACAAAAATGGGAGGATATTGGGGGGACGGGGGAAGCAAGACAAAAAGGGCAGTACAGTATACAAAAGTTGCTCTTACTCTCTCTTTCGATTTCTGTTGAAGAAATTGGCCCATTCTGAACAGGTCTTTTTACTTCCCACCCAGAACACTGGAGAGATGCCAACGATTAATGTCAACAGGTATTTCATCAGAAACAAAAATATTTCTGGTCTTGCTAGCACCTTTGCCTGGAAGACAATAAAGGTTATAAAGACACACAAGAAAACGCTTAATGTTTCTCTTTTCGAAGGGCAGAAAAAGAATATATATCACATGAAGGGGCAATTAGGCACTTTCTTCTTTACAGTAATTGTACTTTATTCAAACGAACTCTGGACTGAATTAAGACATGCACAGTCAAGTCAGATGTGGTCAGTGTGTGCTTGCAAGAATGTAGCTGAAGACCTTGACAGGTTATGTAGAAGGAAAGAATTTTTAAAAATTGAGATGGTCGATTAGAGGGGAAGCAGTTATTAACCAGTTTCCCCTCTAATCCAGCGACACATCATCTGGAGCTTCATCTGGGTATAGACAAGATACGAGTGGATAAATATGAGTTAAATCATAGTAGGCAAGATTCTCAGACAGCCTCAAGACAGTATACTAGTATTTCTGCTATTTCTTCTAAAACTGATCTACCCATTAGCTGAACAGGATCACAGGAGCCGAGGCATGCAACTCAGTAAGAAGTTATTACCTCTATACTCCAAATTTAATTCATGTTGTTTTGGTTAATCTATATCTTTTTTCTGTATCCTGGACTTGGTATAAGTTAGCTACTATTTTTGTTAGCTATGTATTACTAGCTTCTGTAGGTGAAGATGACCTCCCAACATGCCTTTCAGCCCTAATTTATGATTCTACAAAAGTTGTATTTGTTTTGCTTTGAATTAATCAGTTATTTAAAAAGCAGCAGCAGCAGCAGCTGGGAAGCCAGCTCAGAGGAACCAATGGTGATTACAACACTGAGTCACCAGGTACATCTACATGAGATGCTTTACTGCACAGTAGCATAGTTTACTATGCAGTAAGTGTGTGCGTCTACACTCGCACACACTTACTGCACAGAAAGCTTTCTAATTGCAAGTAAAATCTGCTATCTCCAAATGCAAGGAACAAATTTACTTGCAATTACTTACTGCACAGTAGCACTTTTGTAGATGCCTGAATGGGAGCAAATCTGCTTCTGGCCACCAGGGGGTGGGAGACTACCCCCTGCCTCGGGAGCTGCCTGCTGCCGGGTGGGTTCTGCCACCGGAACCCAGGCAGGGACTACGTCCCCCCTACCCCAGCAGCAGGGAACTCCAAGACCCCTGCTCTGAGATGGCGACTGGGGAGTGGGGCCTGGAAGATCCTTATTTCCAAGCTTCAGCTCTGTGACCACGGGGCCAGTGCTGGGAGATGGTTTCTGCTAGCTGCCAAATAAAGGATCTCCCAACACCAGCCCTTAGACCACGGAGCTGGCACTGGGAGCTCCCTACTGGCAGGGGCTGGAGAGACTGTTTCCTGCTCAGCTCCGCAAAGGGTGGGGAACAGGCTGGGGAGCCTTACAGAGCTGAGCAGGGAATAGGCTCTCCAGCCCCTGGCCCCTCATTATGGAGTGGGGGCTGGAAACTGTCCTGGCCAGAGGCAGGTCCCAGCCCTGTGCCCTGATTGGGTGATCCCCACCAGCAGATCAGGGCACAGGGCTGGGACCTGCCCCCTTCACTGCAGCTTTTTCCAAGTCCCCTGTCCCCGATCGAGGAGCCAGGGCCAGGAGCTACCTTCTGCTGGGGCAGGGGGACATTGCCCCCCCTCCCCCCAGCAGCAGGCAGCCCACCCAGGGAGAAGGGTGCAATGTCTCAGCCCCAGCCAGGAGACTGGTACTCCCTGCCAGCCCATGGGATAGCACCCAGGGGGAACTCAGACCTCCCTCTGGGGGCAGCAGGGGCCCATTTCAGGGCCCCAGGAAGCAAAAGCAGTTTGCTGCCATTAGAAACAAATCTACTCCTGCTTCCCTACACGTGTAGATGCCTGCCCAGGACCGTTTACTCACAAGTAAACTGCTCCCGGATCAAATGCATATGTAGACATACCCAGTATGTTGCAATTACAAACTTTGAATGGAGCACAGGGGGCAAGGAAAGGGAAGGAAATGCAATTATAATTTTTCTTGGTATAACATTTGTTTGATACCATGTTTGTTCTGTTGGTATGTACCCGCTCCACTAGGTTAATTAAAACTTGAAGAACCCCACATCACTGATGTCTTATTACCTTTATTGCTCTACTTAAATATGGAAAGACAAGTGTGTTAAAGAAAGAACAGAAGCCTCAACTTTCAGCTGTACAGCTCAAGGAATGCTTTGGCCATTTAAGTCAGCAGACATTTTGTCACAGACTTTAATGGAATCAAGAGCAAACATTAAGAACCCTGTTCTATGAGGTGGTGTTCTCTTCATTTCTCACTCATTTCTATGACAGAAGATGCATTCAAAATGTTTCTAATAATTCTGTGTTTATTTTCTTTGTTTTAGAAGCAAACTGGCTGCAATATTAACTAAAACTGACATACAAAACTAACAATTCACTTAACATTTTCTATTAAACATCACTTTAAATAAGGAGGAAATAATACACAAATTGCTTGAGACTGCAGGAAATTTTGGACTTGTCTATACCAAGGCATTAACATGTCACAGCTTGAGTACACCTTAGAGACCCATGCCTGCAGGGTCAAACCTAGAAGAACACAGATGCATGTTTGAGGCTGCTTGCTCCAGGGTCACCCCAGCTGGAGCCCCTGGAGGTCTGAAGTGCAGCAATAGAAGGACACCACAGAGCATGCTTCCTGGTGTACTCTCAGGTCTGGAGCATGCTTGTGAAAACAGGTGAGCTGGGCACGTTTGGTAGTGTCCTAGCAGATACCACAGCATAGACAACCTCTTTATGTATTAAGGGATGAAATGTAATGCACAAATACTGCATGTGTACAAGTGGTGAGCACAGCAAGACCCTTTCTGAAGAAGAATTTTTGAAAAAAGTCCAACTAAAAAAGTGAGGTTTTTTTTTCAGGTTTCCCCACAATATTAGTCCCTTTTATATATAATCATCTTGCAAAATGGTAGTTACAGTTGAAAAACTGAGTAAAAAATATATATATTGTGGTTTCCATTGTTTTGCATTTGTACAATTTAGAAAGAGACAACATTTATTGTAATGTGGTTATGAGCTATATTTTCTAATGTGTAGCCTCCACCAGAGCTCTTTAAAAAAAGAAGAAAATACAGGTTTCCTTCACCAACCACAGTTTTGAGTATCCACACTTAATATTCTATATACCATTTTGGCAACCATAGTATAGTTTTGAGTAACCATGGTTTTCTGTGGCCACACATCAGCCCGCCACCTGCCATTTTTCCCATAAGCCTTTTGTCTTGCCAACCATGGTTTTGCCAACCACAGGAACTTTCAGAAATCTAACCCCAGCAGTTGGAAAGGGAAACCTGTAACCATGATAGCACACAATGGTATGCTCTCCAGCCAGGGCGTCTAAAAAAGGCTGCTCAATCTTGTGGCTCTGCTGGGGAGGAAAGAGAGGAGACAGCAGTGTGGATGATGACAAATAAGCATTCTTCTGTGTGCTCAGCCTGGAGGAAGAGTTGTCTACAGGATTACTAAGGATGAAACCAGGTACATGGAGACAGACAGGCATGCAGGGATTTCTGCTCTCCAGTCCTAGATACTGTCCAGTACAAAGGAAGGTATTCATTACCTATCCACCTTCCACCCCTTGTGGAAGGCTGGAGGGCGTACTGTAGAGGACCAGGTAACCTCCCCAAAAATGAAGCACTTTGAAAAAACCTGAAGAAAGTACTGGCATTTGGGAGTGGTTCAGCCATATTGGGATGTTTCCTAGGGTATGTACATCTGTCTGATTATACTCCAAAGAGCTTCAAATGTTATCTGTACAGGGCTTTTGATTCCTCATTTCAGTAACCCAACTGAAGCAATTTGGCCTCAGTATTTTTAGGAACAGATAAGGTATATAAAAGCACCACCAAGATTTTTTTAATCATCATTATAGTCAAATAAATTAAAAAAGTAAAACACCCTAAAAATTTAGAACCAGGAGTTGGTTGCAAGTGCTATCAACCTGATTAGAGGGGGGAAGCAGAACCACACCACAAAAAATTCATCATAATACAAAACAGGAAATCTACAGAACATTATTCCTTACCTGATAAGGACATGGAATATGGTACTGATCACAGTGGTCAAAGACCCAAGTAGTCTCCCAGATCCTTCTGTATACTAGCTCATAGACATAACATCCAAGAAGTGCCACCAGTGGAACTAAATATAAGCCACTAAAGACTCCAATTCGAATCATAAATTTCTTCAGTTTCTCCTGGTTCCTACCATCATGCTGTATGACTTGTCGCACATGATTTAAAGAAATAATGCCTGCTAAAAGGAGAGAGAGACCAAGAAAAACACAAAGGCACAAAGGCAAAAGAACAAAATAGAGAGATGCATCCAGGTCATAGAGTCCAACAAAGCATACTCCACTAATATTATCACCTTCAACTTTGTTCATTGCAAGAAGCATAACGGTAAGAAAACCAGGTATGCCCCATGCCACTGCATGGAACCACACTGCTTTTTGTTCAATAGCTTCACAGCTCCATTTTCTTCCTGCTGCTAGGAACCACGTGACTGTTAGAATGACCCACCATACAGTTCCTGCCATAGTGAAAAAATACAAAACCATGAAGAGGACAGTGCAGGCTTTGTTTTGAGAACCAAGAACAACTGTGTCACCAATTTCTAACTTTTTATCTGCCTTGTTACAGGCAGTTCTATTTCCAAGCAAAAATCCAACGAAATACATTAGAGACACTATGCTGTAACAGACTGAATAATATATGATTGGTCTCTCTGGATACCTGAATCTTTTAACATCAATCAGAAAAGTCAGGAATGTAAACAGAGTAGCACACAGGCAAAAGATGGAAACTATTCCAGTGAAGCTTTTGGCAACATCCAATTCATAATTTTTGAAGTACATATTGGGGCATGGCGGTGCACACCGATCAATGCCTAAAAACTTGTAACCTTGGCCACTAGAGGTCTGCAGGTGTCGTGGACACCAAAATCCATAG